ACGACAGATTTTATACTACGCATAGGACGCTACGACTATCGAGAGTGGCACACTAGTACAAGGGGCTTTGCATTGTCCCGCACGAAGCTGCCTCACCGAGTGGCATGTAAGAAGTCCATCGGTAGAGTGACGTCATGCCGAACGCGGAGATAAAGAGAAACATATGGACACTTCGGACCGGTGTCCGTCGTTGAAGGCATGCCGCGAGGTTCAATACCTAATCGGGAAAGACCGGCTACGTCGGTGTGGCATGGAGCGGTGCACGCGCTTGGCCGAACGGCGTCGAGTGGCCCTATTGTCCGCCGAATGCGGGAGATGTTCCGAGATCTACGCGCGAGGCATCGGGACGACCGTGCCGAGCTTCGAGCAAGTGTCGCGCACCGTCGAAGATGTCGAAGAGCGTCGAAGGCGAAATCGAAGTGTTGGGTGAGTGAGTCGAAGTGCCGGGCGGGATGCGACTGCCGAAAAGAGGTGTATCGGGGCCCAGAGGGGCTTGGCGCCTATCATCTCCTCCCTATTGAAATTTGGACCGCCCTCGGTCCTCCACGTGATGCGAGAAGCGCGATGATCGTGAACGGATCGAAGCGGCATGGCAACCCGTGTAGGCTTCGAACGCCACGTGGCCGGCGCTAAACGCTGGTCGGAAAGGGGTTATAAGCAGGGTAGACTTAGCCTCATTTTCCCCATCCCATCGTTCCTTCATCGCTACCTCGCCGTCCTTCCTCGCACGCCCTCTGCTTCCACGATGTCTTCTCGCTCCGCCACCCCTGCGTCGACGCCTTCGCTCGTCAACCGCCGCCTCGCCTCTCTGCTCGTGGTCCTCGAGGCTCCGCCGACCGCCGACGCCGCGCTCGACGTGGTCGAAGAGTGGGCGCAAGACTTGTCGCCGCTCGTCGTAAGTCGCTCGTAATCTGCATAACCCAACTAACCATTTGTTTTCGAACAGCTCGCCTATCGCAAGGCCCTGGGCGCCATCCGCGACAAGGAGACGGAGTTGCGCGTTGCCGCCGCCGTCAAACAGCTCACCGAGCGGGCGTCGGAGTCCTGGGTTGAGTGGGCGCGCGGTGACTGGCCCGAGCTCGCGACCGCCATCGACGCCGAGGTCGAACGACGCGTCGAAGAGCAGAAGCGCCTCGCCGAAGAGGAAGCACGACACGTCGAAGAGGCTGCGAAGCGTGCGAAGGCCGCCGAGGACCGTCGCCTCGAAGACGAACGTTGTCGAAAGGACGAAGAGGACCGTCGCAGGCAGGCCGAAGATGAGTGTCGCGCACAAGAGGCCACCGATGAGGAGTTGGCGAGGATCGCGGCCGCCGAGGGACTTCTCCCTGACCCCGCGCCTGCCGGTGTCGACAAGGGGAAAGGGCGCGCGAGGGTCGACGAGGAGGTCACCGAGTTGTCGGACGACCCTTCGGTCGTAAGTGTTCTCTTCTATCGTCCTTCGATTACTAATCTCGCTTTCGTAGAAGACTCCTCGGACGGTCGAACGCCCGTTCGCGATGACGGAGGTCGACATGGCCGCCGCGGCGATTGTGAAGCGCCAGGCTGGACAGAAGGTACGTTCGACCCTCCGTCGAAGCGGTTCGATGCTAACTCCTTGATAGTGTGATCATTGCGCCGGCTACCGCTCGGCCCCGGTCGAGTGCGTGTGGGTCGAGAACGCTACGATCTGCGAGAGGTGCGCGCAGTTCCAACAGGGCTGCTACTTCGACAAGGTGTCCGTGCTTGGGAAGACGAAGAAAACGCGCGGCGGAGGATCAACCACAAAAAAAGCGCAGTAAGTTGTTTCTTCTTGTTGTCCTAGGCTTTCGCTGACAACTTAGTAGTTCGGCCGACCTCTCCTGTGCCTTCGGTCGCGGACTCGAGTGGTTCGAAGAAGCATCGAGTCGACGAGCCCCTGCGCCCCTTGCTACGACTGCCTCTCGATGGGGCCGGCCGCCTGGGCCTGGAACAGGACGACCTCGATGCGCTCGACCTCGACGACGAGTCTCGGGGGATCATTTGCGTCATCCGCGAGGAGCGCGCTTTCATCGCGCGCCGTCGAGCGCTCCTCCACGACATGGACCTCGACCTCCAGAAGATGGAGAAGGCCGCGCTCGCGAAAGGAGGAATCGGGTTCGTGCGCGGGGCTGTCGACGATGACTAGGTGATGGCGCACGTCGTTTTGTATCGTAGTTGTAATCATGTCGTAGAACATTGCGTAGATAGTCGAATGGGAAATGTGGCCTTTGGCCTAGACGAAACCTAGCGGGAACTAAGAGAAAGGAAATGAAAATAAGTGTGTTCGAAGTAAGTCGTAATATGATCGAAGGACATAGAAGGTGAAATAGAAATGTTCGTAGCGAGGGAAAATGGACTTAATGAAAATATAGGCTCAGTTTGTCATCACAGCCTAGGAGGACTCGTTTAAGGTGAGCCTCTGCGCAATGGTCGAATCGAAGCGTTCGTAGAACGTCGAACAATGTTGCGACTATCGAGTTGAATCGAAGATATTCGTACACGGGATGTTCTAGAACGTAGAAAATCAAACATATAGCATAACGTGAGCGCAGGAACGGAGAGAAGAAAGTACGTATTGTGGTGTACAAGTAATAAAAGGGAAGAACCTCTATTCGTCGCGTTCTTTGGCTTCTTCGACTTCATCATCGTCGTCGTCGCCTAGAGAATTCGATAGTTCGAGTTCTCGAAGACGCTCTGTCGAGACATCTTCGAGATCTTCGGGAATTGGAATGGATTTGCGCGCGAAATACGGAATGACGCGGAATGCTGCGATGGGTCAATCGAGGACTGTACCATCAAGTTCGCACACGATGTACGCGCCGCCCTTGTTGCGCGAGACAATGATGAGGGGGCCTAGATATCGCGGGCGCATCTTGCGGTTGAGGGACTTCTCGATCTTCGTGTTGCGTATGAGCACTAGGGCTCCGCGCTTGAAGTCGAAATCCTGGATTGAGTGCTCGTGCTCTTTCTCGAAGCGAATTGCTGCAGTTCGACGTGCTTCGTAGACCTTCGAGTGGAGTTCGGTGACTTGCTCGATGCGTTTCTGGAGCGCAATGGCCCTACGGGCGATGAGATCGGTTGTCGAAAGAATCGAAGTTGGTGGTGGTTGCAGATACGTAGCTTCGACGATGTCGAGAGGAATGAGCGGATGGGTGCCCGTAACAGCGAAATAGGGTGAGCAGCCCATGCGTCGTCGAGTCGTGATGCGCTCGGACCAAAATACAAAATACGCAGCTTGGGACCATTTCTTCTCATCTCCGTCGGCTGTCTTAAACAAGGCTTGTCGCGTGCTGAAGTGCGGACGTTCGACGAGACTGTTCGCCCTCGAATTGTACCCACTGATTCGTATATGGTTGATGTGGTATTTCTTCGAAAGGTAATCGGCCGCCTTGATGAACGCCGTACCGTTGTCGGTGACGATCTCACTGAGCGCGCCCCATCGACAGAGGATGTCTTCGAAGATCCAGTCGGCGAGGGCTTTTGCTGTCTCTTTTCGAAGCATTCGAAACTCGGGGTAAGTCGTGAGCGAGCATCTACCCTGGACCAAGTACTTGTATCCGCCCGAGGCAGGCATGTGCATTGTGTCGATGTGAATTTTCGCGAAGATGGGGGCTGGTACTGCAACGGTCGGAGGAATGAGGATTTGACGCACTTGTCGAGACTGGCAGATATGGCACGATCGAACGAACCAAGCAATGTCGGCGTAGTGGAACGGCCACCAGAATCGCTCATTGACAAAGGCTCGGGTTGCGTAGATCCCTCGATGCGCGGTGCGGTCGTGGCATTCTTGAAGTATTCGAAGGCGATCGCCGGGCTTGACGACTAGCTTGTGTGCTCCGTGACTGTCCTTGCGCCAGAGGGTGTCGTCGAGGAAGCATTGCATGCAGTACTTGATGAACCCTTCGTAAACACTTTCGGAGATGCCGTGGGGCTTCGCTAACGTTCGATGAAATTCGAGCACATCGTCGAGCTTCGCGTCGGCGAGTTGCGCTTGCTCCGATCGAGGCACTAGCTCGTAGCTATCCTCCTCCCTATTGAAATCTGAGCCGTCCTCGGCTCTGTCACTGGTGAAGATGGCTAGCAAAGGGCCGGACGGGAGAGGCTGAATCTGGTGAACAAAAGAATGCATCTGGTCGATCCAATCGTCGAACTCTTCGTCGACCTCATCTTCGATGGCATCACCGGGCTGAGCTGGGCGACGAGAGAGGCCGTCGGGGCCATGCATTGTACCGGGGACGTGGACTAGCGTGAAATGAAATGTGAGAATCGAGACGATCCACCGGTTGATACTCGCGCTTGGGGCTATGTCCAGATTCTTCAGCATACCCTTGATGTACCGAGCATCGACTTCGACGATGAGGTTCCGAACGCCGATCAGGTAGAGTTGAAGGGATCGTAGTGCGCGGAATAGGCCGTAGATCTCTAGCTTTGGCTGTGAAAACCTTTGTTCGCGATCGTTGAGCGTGATCGAGCCGAACCGGCTGTAGTAACGGACTCGCGTGTTGGCTTTGTCGCACTGGCAGAGGTGATATCCGACAGCGATGAACGACGTGTCGACTGCGAGAATGACGGGAGAGGGGGAATCATAACTAATGGCTCGGAGTGCTGGGGATGAGAGTAGCGCATCCTTGAGGTCTTCCTGCGCCGTGATTTGCTCCGGACCGAACTCGAACTCGACGTCCTTCCTTGTGAGGCGTACGAGCGCGTCGGCGCGGTGAGCGAAATTACGGATGAAGATACGAACGACGCCAATGGTTCCGAGGAACGCTCGAACATCGGATAGAGTAGCGCAGGGACCCCAGTTGCGTATCGAAGCGACGCAAGAGTCGTCGGGGAGGCGTCCTTGAGGAGTGCAGCGATGTCCTACCACCATGATTTCTCGAGCGATGAGGATGCTCTTGACTCCAGAAAAGGTACCTCCGGCGTAGCGCATTCGAGTAACTACGCGGTTCATGTTCTCGAAATGCTCCCATACGAAGCGTCGAATGCCACGGTTCGAAGGGAGCCGTTCGTCGACATAGTCTGATTCGGGACCTTTGACGGGCACATCGTCGACGTAGGGCACCGTAACGTGCGGGATCTCGGGCTGGAGGATGTAGGTGACGTCGTCGTGGAAGATCGGGACAGAGTTCGTCCAACCCATCGGGAGTGTTACTAGGCACATGGCTCCGTAGGGTGTCTGGAACGTCGTTAGATCTCTCGAAGACTCGGCGATGAGTCGTTCGTCGTAGCCGACGTAGAGGTCGAGCATGCCGCCGCATGGTCTTCCTCCGAATTGTTCTGCGAGGTATTTGGGCGTCGGCGGTACACCGGAATGTTGGATCATAACTGCATTGAGGGGCTCGAGGGAATGGACGAGTCGAAGAGATTTACCGTCCTTCTTGACGACACAGAACCAGCGTGATCGATACGACGAGTTCGATGGCTTGTAGACTCCGGCGGCGATCTTTCGCTTGATCACCGCGCAGACTTCGTTGTAGATCCCGGGCGGAATGGGGATATTCTTCTGCACCCAGGGCATGTGAGGAACTACGGGGAAATCGACGGGAGGGAAGTACTCGGGCTTGAAGCATCCGCGCTCGTCGTCGGTCCATGTGAAGGCTTCGTTGTGCAGGCACATGAAGTGGTGGAGGACTCGACGTTCGTCGGGAAGTAGGAAGTCGCCGTCGTGAAGCTTCTCGGTTGCTTCGAAGCGTTCGAGGGTGTACCGACCGGTAGGTTTGAACGGCAGGGGGTCGGTCGAAAGCTTAGGCATGATGGAGAGAGGGTCGCCCTTGATGTCTCGAAGTATTCGAAATTGTTCGGGGATGGCACCAAGGACGGGTCTGGTTTTGAGAGCGACAGGCTTGTATTTCTTCTTTGTCGCGGCGAGGACCTTGTGCGTTGAAGGGGTAGAAGTCGATGCCGTCGAAGGAAAGGGGAGAATTGAGTTGGAAAGCTGCGAAATGGACTTCGTCGGAACGGGAGCTGGCGGAGTCGAAGCGAACAGAGCTGAAAATAGAAGAGTCGAAGCCCACGTCGAAGTGTTCGACGGAGCGTCATTAGAAGCTGTATTGTCCGAAGCGTAAAGAGACTGCAAATATGATGAAACGGAGGTGCATGCGGAGAGGTACAGTGACGAAACAGCGTTCGGAGTCGAGGAATCAATAGGAGAGACGAAGGAAATACTTGGTTTTACCCCATCGTAGTCGATGACTAGCGCGGCTTCTCCTTGATCATGGGGAATCAATTCCTCGAAGCAAGAAAATGCGATTTGCGACACCTGAGAGGATGCTGCCGGCTTCGCGATCTTCCTCGCGCGTACGTCGGAATCGTGACGGTTTCGCCGGTGTTCGGACAGAGGATCGTAATGGTCTGGTTCTCGTCGGCGAAGTTCTTGACGACGCTCTGCGTGAGCACGTCGAAGGGTCGGCCGAGGAGGACGTTGTACGCTGCGTTTCGAATGACGTGAGCCTGGAGATACAATACGATCTCACCGATGCGGAAGGGAACATTTCGAATGAGTCCCAGCGATCGGTCCACCTCGCCGTTCGCCGATTGCATGTTCAGCTGGATAGTAGGATCGAAGAGGAGGTTGAGGCCGAGACAAACCTCTTCCGACATGGCGACGATCTGCGATCCTGGGTCGACGATGCATTCGATCTGCTCTTTGTTGTCGATCAACGCGATGATCGTTCGAATCGCGTTCGAATCGCGGGCGACGGTGAACTCTGCGGGGTACTCGCCGTGAGGGATGTGCTTCAGATATGTTTCATAGGGGTCGGGGACGATTGTAGCACCGGGTTCCAACGTTGCACCTGAACACGAGAGCTGGTTGACGGCCATGACCTCGTCGGCGCCGATTTCTACGATGTGGGCCGACGCGATGGGTTCCGTCGAGACTCGCTTAGGGGTGACGGCGTCGTGGTACTTGGTTCGAACGTCAGGTGTGATCGACAGCAACTCTTCTGGGGTCAGCGTGACAAACTGCGACTTCATCGAACGCTGGAAGATTTCTTCGGCGAGCTTCGGCTGGATAACGGGGACGATGGTCTTGTACGCTGGCTCCTTGCCCTTGTCGTTCGAGGGCTTCGGCGGAGTTGCGAAGTTTCGAACGTTCGGCGGGGCGTAGGTTGCGTCGCGAGCGTTTGCGAAGGGGTGTACTGGTGGTGCTGGGGGAGCGGACGTAGTAGTAGGTTGAGACGTGGATTGCGTAGGCGGCGAAGAAGACGGCACGGGTGCTGCTGCTGGTATCGTCGGAGGCGGGGCCGTGCTTGTCGAAGTGCTCGAGGGTGCCGCCACTCCTTTCGATGTACCAGATCCCGAGACTTCCGCGCTCTTCGTGACGACTGGTGTCGTAGGCTTCTTCCGCTGTAGAATCTCGATGCCATCGAAGACCTCCCTTCGCTTCCGAAGC